CACGGCGGCTGTCCCACGCGGACACGGCGGTTGTCCCGGGGACACGGCGGCTGTCCCGCGGACACGGCGGCTGTCCCACGCGGACACGGCGGCTGTCCCGGGGACACGGCGGTTGTCCCGGGGACACGGCGGCTGTCCCGGGGACACGGCGGTTGTCCCGGGGACACGGCGGCTGTCCCGGGGACACGGCGGCTGTCCCGCACAGACACGGCGGCTGTCCCGCGCGGACCACGGCGGCTGTCCGGGGACACGGCGGCTGGTCCCGGGGACCCGGGCGGCAGGATCCCGCTACAGACACGGGGGCTGTCCCGGGACACGGGGGCTGTCCCGGGGACACGGCGGCTGTCCCGGGGACACGGCGGCTGTCCAGCACAGATCACGGGGGCTGTCCCGGGGACACGGGCTGCTGTCCCCGGGGACACGGCGGCTGTCCCACGCTGGACACGGGCGGCTTGTCCCACGCGGACACGGCGGCTGTCCCGGGGACACGGCGGCTGTCCCATGCGGACACTGCAGCTCTCCCCCGCGGACACGGAGGCTGTCCCGCATCAGACACGGCGGCTCTCCCCCGCTGGGGCGCCAGCGGCTGTTCCCACGCTGACACGGCGGCTGTCCCACGCGGGACATGAGCGGCTGTCCCGGGCAGACACACTGGTCAGCCCTCTGAGGCCCCGGCCGGACGGCGGGCTGGTAGACAACGGCTTCCTGGAGTCGGTGGACGCCTGGCACCCGCTGCTGAGGTCGGCCCCTGGGCGGCCGGCGGGCCTTCGTCTACCACCGGCGAGCGGCACGGCGCACCGAGAGCGAAACTCGGCCCGTACTGGGCGGAGATCTGGAAGCTTCTTCTGTGCTTCTCAGCCTTAAGAAGGGCTGTTATGCTGACAAGTTATTTCAAACTCCAGTTTGTCCCTCCATGGATTGGAAATGCGTGATTGCGTGTGATATGTGGGGTAGTCTCAGACAACAAGATCCGTTTTGCCTGATCTGATTTTACTTTCGTGAACAATTTCCTTCAGCGCAAGCGGCATAGCGTGGATTACAACTAGAACAATGCGAATCGGTCGTGAAAAGTCTGCTCTGATCAAGATAACGATTATCTGGCTAAAAGAGAGTCCTTGTCTTTCTTATCCCATGCGAGAGGGTTCAAGCTGAAATCATGGAATGTGTGAAATGGCTCGCACGCATGCGCGGTAAAACTCCGATGCTGAGTAGCGACAGGAGCTATGTTACTCACAGTGCGATGTTTCTCTTTCGACATCGCCTTTCTGCCTCAACTGGTGAAATTCCCTGGACATCATAAAGCTTGCAGGTGTCCTGTACGGCATGAAAGATTTTAAACAAACGTTAGGAAAGAGAAGCTGGATCCAAACTAGATTCAGGCATGTATTCATCACTCCCACGCAAGGCGTATAGCGACAGGAATATGCGTTTTCACTGTCAGCCAGTTGTCTTCCAGTTTTCCTGTCAGGTCTTTATGACATTCCGAATCAGATACGAAAAGTGAAGCTGCATAAATGCAACTTCGTAAGAAAAATGCACGAAGTGGTCGTGCATGAAACCAAAAGTTGCACCGGCGTAAAAGAAGGCTGCACTGATCTATCAAATGACATATATATATATATATATATATATATATATATATATATATATATATATATATATTATGAACAAATATTCCTCAAGCAAGGCCGTCAGTTGATAGATATGCAACGGGGTAAAATGGTAGTTAGTTACGCACTTGCCTAGGCACGCATTGTGTTGCGTTTCCTTGTTGCTACTCCAGCAATGCCCCGACTTACCCCGATGGCGTCTGTACAAGAGTTGTTATATTTGTTTAGTGTCGAAGAGAAATGCGTCACTTTGTTTTTGTGTTATGATGCGCAGCGATGCATGGCAGCTGCACTAAGTTTAGTTTTCCGTGAAATCATTTTTTCGTACAGGGCCTTGGTAACTGATGGAAATCATTTGTCTTCTGATATTAATCGCATGCCTTGTGTTTTGGTACCTTTTGTTCAAGCCAACTGCATAAATACAGCCGTCAGCTCCGCAAATCTAATTCCACTGGCCCTCTACTTTTACCATTCATAACCCGATGATGAAAATCAGCGATTTCACTCCTGGATTCCATCTGTAGCTGAACAAGTTGTACCGCCGGCACAACACTTTCCATTGACCGCAGGTGATTGCTGGCAGGCGGCATTCCTGTCCTGACGAGACGGCGACGGGCGTGAAATCTATGCCGAGCCAGCCCGCCGATTAATGCCCCGGTTATCCCCGGGCCGCCCGTCCGTGACATGGCGCGTTACGAAACATTGCTAATGAACGCCTGACGGGGGTCAGCAGGAACCGGTGAAAGTGAGGCTCCGCCTGACGCTCGGGTGATCCTGATCCGTCTGGTGTCAAGGCACCACCAGGGCCATCCCAGAAGCCGCCCCCTCATCCGCTCGGCTCTGGGTGCGTGCCGAGAACGCTGAGCCAGTTGCGCAGCGGGCCTCGACGCTGTCGTCTCGGCGCGAAGCCGACAGCTGGCTAACGGTGCCGGCAACTCTCCGGCTGCGTCACGCTACCGCCGGGTGTACCGGCGCGGGCTCACGTCTGGGAGAGGCGGTACGGTACCCTCCGGACCCAGCGACACGCTACCGCCGGGTGTACCGGCGCGGGCTCACGTCTGGGAGAGGCGGTACGGTACCCTCCGGACCCAGCGACACGCTGCCGCCGACTATGCCGGCGCGCGTTCACGTCTGGGAGAGGCGATACTATACCCTCCGTACGCAGCGGCAGGGTACCCCTTCCAGCCGTGGCATGGTAATCTTATCCGCGTAAGACGATACTTTAGGAGGCGTACAGAATGGTACTTCGTTTTTCATAGCATGACATAACAACTTGGTGGCAATGGATTTTAAGGGCCTGATGTTGTCGCTTGAGGTGGTGGTCTTGAGGCATGGTGCGATCCCTGTCTTGTGCCCACTGGCGGGAGATTTTACCGTCATTCCTTGGAGCGCGCCTCGACTGGCATCCGCAGCGATCCCCGAGACGAAGCACATCAAGATAAAGCGGAGGGCGAGCGTGCTGTGTGCCTCACCGACTGCACTTATAGCTTCACGTATCGCTTATCATTGTATCATCATGCTGGACACAAAAAGCCTTAAAACCCCGTCATCGTAAACAATGGCGCTGCCAATCAGCTCCTCGGATGCCTTTACAAAACCACAACCAGGCCATCTTTCCTATTAAGCGAATGGAAAGCACAGCCTAGGCTTAGGAGCAGACAGGAACACGACGAAGGATCCACAGACATGGCATATTAAGAAAAAAAATTATTAGTTGAGTCCGGTTCAATCCACATCGTCCGACCCGCTGAGTGCCACCACCCTAGAAGTTGTGTGGATGGGCGCGGCTGGATGACATTGAAGGGCCGGTCCGAGTGTGAGAGCGGGATACAAGAATCACACGCTGGGCATGCTCGCGTGAGATGAGAAGATAGCCGTGCAGAGGTTTCTTGTTGGTCTATGTCGTGCTAAGTAGGCAATATGCCGCTGGGCTTTCGTTCATGTGTATGTAGTTACGCGGCATATCTCGCAGGCAGCCAGTCTTGCTGGGCAGCGGGCACTACGGCATGGTACTTGGCGCTGAGAATGGGACACAGCGGCATGTGCATGTGACACCGACCAAAACAAACTTATGTTTCCACTTTATAGCCGGTTTCTTTCGCTCTCCTGTTTTAGCACGATCTCTCCGCTGGCGTTTATCTCTCCCGCCCTGCGACCCACTCTCTCCCTCTGTTCATGCGTCGCACGCACTCCCGTCGTCTGCCGGTGTCTGGGAGCCGCCGCAGTACGGGGCGGTGGAGCTCTCCGCCTCGGCCGCTCCCCAGCCGCGAGTGGCGGCGATCAGCGCCGACTGTGCGTCGGCGGACCCGTTTACCCGAATGCCTGATTCTGCGGGTCGGCCGCCACGTCCTACACCAGCTGAGCTAGCGGTGCGCTGATCCTATCAGCGGAGACAGTGTTGTCACGTATCACACTGGTGGAGCTAACGGTGCCGCGTATCGCAGTAGAGTGTTTGCGGCGCCGAGCATCCCGCCGCTGCGACTAACGGTGTCACGCACCGCGACGCTGGGGTGTACTAAACAGGGCTGCGAAGGGATAACTGCATCCAATGGCTGAGACGCGAGCTTGTGCGAGGCTTCTCTAGACATCTGCCTCAAAGGGCTGTATGCTGGGACGTTGGCCTTGCTTATACCTGCACCAGGCCTCGGCAGCACAGAGTCAAGGAAAGTAGCATGTTGTAGCATGTAGCAAGTAGCACTGCGAGAGTAGTGCTACCGGGCCTTCTGTGGACGCGCGCAGTGTCGATTCAGGTGTGGCGAGGAATCATAATACACGCTGTTAGTTCACTTAACGTGGCCCGCCAGCCGCCTACTGCCGTCCTTCATCCCCAGTGGAGTGTGTGTGGATATATAGAGTGTGTGTGAATAGTGGGTGGATCCAGAAGGTCCGGGCCTAATCTAGATGTCAGCGCAGTGAAAAGCAAGGGCGGGCTGCTTTCCACGGCTCAAAAACCTCGCGGCGTTGAAAAAGGGACGTCGAGTGATTCATGACATCTGCCCGTTGCGTTCTTGGACATGGATCCCGCAATCTTTGAATCTTAAGTCTGGCGAAACACAGCCGATGTACATGCACCCTGATTCAATCTGCTAGCACCACAGCTCGCGGTGCGACCCGACGACGCGTCCCCAGACCTTCTGACGTGTTTATTCTTCGTATATCCTTGAGCCCAACTCTGGCAAAACCGGTATGGCGAGCATCCTCGTAAACATGTTTTGAATCCGCAGACGTGCGACCCGATGCGTTGTAGATGCATCAGTTCAGACATCACATTGGGGTCAAAACGCACCCGTTTAGACCAGGGCGTCCCGACTATGCCGGGTGAACATGCTACTCCCCTGCCGCTGGGCTGTGCTGCTGCCGCCTGACGTGCCCTGTTTGCTCTACTCGCAGACGAGGAGTGGGAGGCGGCCGGCCACAGCACTGAGGACCTGCTTCTGGAGCCTTCCCCCTCGCCATGGCAACAACGGTAAGCGTTCGGTGGAGGTATGGTCGTCACAGCACGGGTTGAGCTAGTTGGCGTTGATCTCGCCGACAGCCGAGTGACAATTGTACGTCATTGCTCGAGGACTTGCAACCCATCTTGAGTCGGGAGAAAGGTTAATTAATTGGACCGAGGCATAGTGGCGATGAAGCATTGGTAGCTGGAAAATTTATCATCCAGACATGCAAACGATTGTATGGGAGTGAGATCAACAGCCAGGTGGTAGATAATACCACCTGTAAATTCTCACCCTCATGCAATGCGTCACCATAACACGTAGTATGGTGTGCAAACGTTGTCATTAAGTCCGAAATAAACATTACCTTTCCTTTCCATACAACACTTAGGCATTCAAACAAATGACCACATGACTTTCAGATGCAGCACGACGATCGAGCAATACGATCATTCAAACATCATCACGAATATTAAGAACCGACATCATGCTTAACAGTTTGCACACAATGGAAGAGATCGGCAATGTGCCCCCCGCCCCCCCCCCCCCCCACCGAAATGATGTACACCCCGCCGAGAGGAACCGAGCGCTGCGCCATTTGATCTTACACGCCGAATGGCTGCTTCGATATCACTGCATGCTGAATTGCTTGTCAATGCCTTCAGTCCTTTTTTCCATTCTACTCTACGCACGATATGTCATCACTTCATTCCGACTTAGAACCGTTTCGGTGAAGAGCGTTCATAAAGACCGGTCGGCTCAAAAGCTCACATACGCGTTGCTTACAAGTGCGATGCAAGAACCGTTATATTCAAGGTGCCTTTGACGGCGCATATATATGGGCTGAGTCAGCGCATTGTGTCGCCAATTGGAGGCAGAGAACAAAGGGTATATATCTATATATATATATATATATATTTATATATACATATGTTTATATGATATGTTTAGATCATGCCATATATATATAGATATATGTGCTTATATAACATATCCATGGTGCCTACAATATAATATATATATATATATATATATATTTATTATACACATATATACATATGTTTATAATATATTGTTTATATATAAATATATATATAATATATATATATATACATGATATGTATACATATAAATATACATAATATACACACATATATATATAATATATATATATATATATATATATATATATATATATATATATATAGATATATATATATATATATATAAAATTATACATACTGGTCGTGATTGCGATGAAAATGTGACCACACATAAAACAATAGATAACAAAAAACGGATTACTACGGGCCGAGTCCGGTGGCGTTTGATCGACGCCAAGCAATCGCAAGTGATAAAGTCACACACGAGACGGCGCTCTCGTCACACTGAGCCCAAGTCCATGGCCAGAATCCCATTACATCCGGTGAGCAGGGCGTGCTTGCTTTTCATGGCGGTTTTGAACGTCATGAAACAGTTGATAACGGTCAATGGCCGAAATTCCGTCATGAAATGGTTTAAAAGATACATGATCGAGCACCGAGAAAAGTTGTTTTGTTCAACATGTCTCTCAATAGCAATGTGTATCATACACGTCAACACACCCTGGTAGGCATTCGTCTGTCATGTTTTGCAGCATCCAGCGGTACATCCATCGGCACCTACTCTTTCCATCCTGTGCTACTGAAAACGTGAGACAGATCCGTCCAGATTTCCGTGTTGTATCACACCGCGCAGCCATTAGCCATGGTTACGAGCGCAAATGGCCCTCCCGACAGTCTCAACGTGCGGGAAAGCTCTTCTTCCCAGCTCTCAGCTGTCATGATGAAAACTGACTGGACACGCTAGTCTGGATTGAGCCGCGGTGTAGCGGCCGCGCGCCGGCAGTCTGTAGACAGCCCTTCGCTGCTTTGTCCTGTTGCACAGATGCATTAACCACCGCAGAACATTCAAGAACTTTTACGGAGTTGAAATGGCGCGTGATGTAGAATGACACATAGAACATATCGATAGCTACGATTGACTGCGCTGCACGCATACGCAGGCATTGCGCATGTACATACGCAAGATACCAGCCGTTCACAGGGTGTAATAACTTTCAGTGATTGGATTTCTATGATATATCATTTAACTTGCTTTCTGATCGTTTTCTACCATTTAGGCGGAAAATTGTCGTTTTGTGTATATCTTGTTCCTGCCCTATAGTTCGTTAACTACACCCCTTGCCTGCCAGGGGGAGGGACGGCACAGGATGCCGTCGTCCCAGCATCTGGGACCGTCGTAACGCCCCACTGGCAGCAACTGTCATACACTTATAATGCTGATTCAACAGAACAGAGCCTGGTCGTCACGCTTAGCGTTTGAAATCTCCTCGCGTAGAACAGTGGTGTCTAAATCGCATCATTATGCCGTTATCTACATCGCTTACCAAGTAAACATTACGGGAGATAACGGAAACCTGAAACACGTCATCGTTTAGTCTGCAGCGGCGGCCTGCGGAGCATACGGAGGTTCAGGTGACCCGGGCGTGTTTCAGACCCGGATGGAGAGGTCACGGGTGGTTCAGCTGACCCTGTGACACTGGCGGCGGGTTTAAGACCCGGCTGGAGAGGTCACAGGTGGTTCAGCTGACCCTGGCGTGTTTCAGACCCGGCTGGAGAGGTCACAGATCTGCCGGCGGCCAGAGTCCCGACACAGACGAACTGCTCACATCGGGTCACTCGTCCTCGCGCAAGCCGGCCAGCCAGCGTCAGAGGTATGGCTTCAGCCCCTCAGCGCCCGCCCCACGACCCACCACAGCTTAACGGATTAGCAAACAAACGCCGGGATTATAGCCTCTCGGCGTCTGGGCGCTTTGCAAGTGGGGTGGCGAGGCTGCCAACCCAGCCGACGCTTGTATGCGCTGCCAAACTGATGGCATCACGCGATCGTTAAACGGCCTGTGTGCCCAGCAGCGCAAATATTTGAGGCAGCTGTGGCTGCCTGGCTTTGGTCAGAGGCATCGGCACTGCAACTGGAGAAAGGTTAGGACCGAACTTTGAGCCGTAAACGGCCATGCAACGAAAGCTGTGAGCAGCGATGCATGCGAAATTTGACCCATGGGCCGTGATGCAACATACATTAACGTTATGCCCACGTAAACTGTCGACGGTTACTTCCCTGTTTGATCCTGGAAGTGGCCGTCCACGCGAGGTCAGTATGACCTGACTGGCTTTGGTACAGTCCAGTGAACGTGGGGGCGACAGGCCAGAAACAGCACAGCCCTGTGAGGTGAAGGCGAGGTGAAGCTCACGAGCCGTCGGGGTGTGACGTCCGTGACGTATCCTGCAGACATCCAGTGGTGCGCCCGGCCGTGACCGGCGATGTACCCAGACCCGGGCGCTGTCACTGCACAGGTGCGGCCGTGACCGGGCCTCAGGGGCCGGGCACGGGACGACAGGTCCTGGACGGGGGACTGGCCGGCCGGAGGCCGGTCGGTGGCGGCGCCGCCCTCCCCCGCCGCCGCGACCTTGACGTCAGTCCGTGAAGTTAAGTAGCGGCCGATTAGGTCGACCCTCGGCTGATGAACGGTTGCCGCGTGCCGTTCACACATCGGTCCGCCGCCGCCGTCTCTGGCCGGCACGGCAGCTGCAGAGCCGGCCTGTCCGCCGCACGGCGGCCGGACAGACCCCGCGCTGGCGCAGGCGGCCCCGCACAGCGGCCGGACAGGCCCCGTGCTGGCGCGGGCGGCGCCGGCGCCGGCGTGGCTTCTCGGTCTCCAAAGCTGAGGCTGTTCGGGGGCTGGGCTTGAGGCCGAGACCTTGAGACGGAACACGCGAGGTGATACGCATCACGAAAGACGACGGAAGTGAAACGGCTTGGTGGGTGGGTGAAAAGCACCTGAGGGATTGTCTGATGGAAACAATTTTATTTGGGTTCGCCCCAGATTCCAGGATCCCAGAATCCCAGGTCCCCACACCGCAGGTCATAAGTATCGTAACGAAACGAGGCGTTTTTAGCCGCATGCACAGCGTCGTCGGCATAGAGTAATTATCCGGTCATCCATGTGGACGCACACCGCCATGTGCATGCATATTTGCACACATACTGGTGTGCATGTATGCACGAGTGTTTGCAAGCACTGTAAATTTAGGAGAAAAGAGTACGAGCTGTCAACTGACATTTTTTTATCAAGAAATCAAGACTATTGTCTATGCACGTAAACGATTGTTTGATTGCGCCCGACTCATGCGAGATCGCATAAGGCTCACACGAGAACGTGTGCAACCTCAGGGT